TAAGGTAGCCTACTGCTTGGAGTTGCCAGCAGAGCTTAGTCAGATTCACAACACATTCCACGTGTCGCAGCTTCGGAAGTGTGTCACCGACGAGGCTGCGGTTGTCTCGTTGGAAGACATTCAGGTGGAGGAGCTTGAATTACATAGAGAAGCCTGTTGCTATTCTGGATACGAAGACCAAGGTTCTTCGGAACAATGAAGTAAGGTTAGTAAAGGTGCAATGACAGCATCAGAAGGGTTTCGAATGGACTTGGGAACCGGAAGAGGAGATGCGAGAACATTACCCCGATCTGTTTGGGTCAGCAGACTTCGAGGATGAAGTCTAGTTCAAGTAGGGGAGACTTGTAACACCTGGTTTGAATTGGGAAGGTTTTATGCATGGACTCGTCTAGTTGGGAGATCAACTCGTTGATTAGGGTCGTGATATCATGGAAAGCAGGACGGGACCGACTCGGCGAGTCTGAGCTGTTTCAAGAAAACCCTAAATTTTGGGGTTTACCCCCTATATAAACGACATTATAAGCCTTTGTAGCCTCCCTTAAAATCATAAGAAATCGTTTTCGGCCGTAAACACTTGGGTGTGTGAAGTAAGAGCTTTGGGAGCTTAAATCTTGGGATTGTGGAAGGAATTCCAAGCTTGAAGAAGAAGTATCAAGGAGGAAAGCACTAGATCTAGCATCTAGTTCGTCTTGGGCATTGAATTGAGGTATGAATCTGTTACCTTAAGCCTAGATTCTATTTGAGGGTTATGACCAACTTTGAGGAAATGGAAGCAAGCTTAGATCTGGACCTATCACAAGGTTATGGTTCCAGATTTGGACCTTCTTATGTCCCAAATATCATAAAGTTGCACCTTTTATTAAGCTCATTCCCTCTCCATGCATGAAAACCTTGTTTGAAGGATAGTTTTGGTGTTATGGCCATGTGAGGCTTTGCATGCACGTAAAGTTTGCAACTTTACGTGTTATCCACACTAGTATAGTATAGATCTGAAGTTTGGGACCTTGAGTCCCACTGGAAAGGGCCGTAAACATAAGGGACTAAGGGGACTCGGTGAGTCGTGCAAGTGACTCGGCGAGTCGAGAGGGTTTCCTCGTTCACGGCCAAGGGTTCACGACCAAGGGTTCACGGTCAAGGGTGTAAGGTTGGTGGTTTACGGCCGTGAACATCAAGGAACTCGACGAGCCCCTCGGGTGACTCGGCGAGTCGATGAGTTAAATAGGGAACCCGACGAGTGACTGCTTGTACTCAACGAGTCAAGGTCAATATGGGTTGTTGACCTAGACTATAGACTTTGACTTTGACCAGGGTTGACCCTGGGGGGGGGGTATTTATGGGATTATGCTGATTTATTTACTCATTGATTATAGACAGTTTAGGAGGAGCAACGTGGGATATATCTAACTACATTTTGCCAGTTCAGCCTTTGAGAGGTGAGTCTTCTCACCATATCAATGGGTCTAAGGCACCAAGGCCGACCCATTTTATGAGATACGGTTATTGATTGACTGTGCGATATGATAGTATGTTATTTGCATGGAAGACCACGTGGGGGTTCCCGTGGCTTTTGGTATAGGATCTTGGAGGGTTTCCATGGCATTCTAAAATATTTGCTTGTATAGTTTGCATTATGTCTTGTTTGGTAGGAAGACCTTGTGGGCGTTCCCAAGGCAGGAAGACGTTGTGGGGGTTCCCAAGGCAGGAAGACCATGTGGGGGTTCCCATGGCAGATAAAGACCACGTGGGGGTTCCCGTGGCATTTGGTGTAAGACCCGGGAGGGTTTCCAGGGCTTCCTTATTTGTCGAATGCATGACTTATGTCATATATGTAGCGTATGGATAATTCGATATGAGTTATGTGGTTTGTGTGTGGGATATGCTCTGGGGGACTCACTAAGCATTCGCTTACAGTTTGTGGATTTGTTTCAGGTTGATCTGAGTCCAAGGGCAAGGGTAAAGCTTGATGGTGCGACGTGCACTCTCTCTCAGGCGACTTTATGGGACACTCTGATATTTGAAAATAAAGTTGTAATGAATATGAATTTGAAACAATTGTTTTGGAAATTCTTGATTTATGGAAGTGTGTTTGGTTAATTAAAAATGAAAATTTTCTTTGAAAAATTAGGTCGTTACAGAGCTAGGACAACTTAACTTTTGTCAGATAAGACCCTCATTTAGAAGTCAGGTGGTGCGATTGTGTGAGGTTATTAGCCTCAGCAACCGACTGGAAATCTGGTATACCAGTCACTTGGTAGATAAGTTGAGACCAGGGAGATCTCGGCTGCATCTGGAATGTAACTGGGGGAAACAAGATGAGCCTGAGCTGGTATTAGTGATTTGGGACTCGTGTCTGGAGTCGCTTGCTATTTAGTGAATATGTTCAGTGACTTGCTGCATGGGTTAAATAATCTCAGAGTAATTGATTTGAGCCTACTACGCAACTCTCATCTGATTCTAACCGTTGCAGGGATGAGTCTTCTACTGGAAGGACGATCTAAGCCTTCTGTCAAGTAAAAAGTTTTCTGCAGCAATGAATGGTCAGTGATTATGTTCCCAGTGGAACAACAATATAATCGAGGGCTGGAAGTGTTATGATTAGTTGGAATACAAAGTGGAGATGATCTGACAGTGGTTTAGAGTGGGCTGTCTGTCAGGGAGTCACACAGGGTCTTAGAATTTCAGATTTCGGGCAGTGTGGTAATGATTATTCCTCAAGGGTGAACTATAGTGATGTTAAGATCCGTTTGTCGCAAGAAAGTGAGAGCCCTGTTAAGGCCTAGTTCGGTCACGAGTTTGGTATGATGTTGTATGTGTGAGTTGTTCTCTCAGTCAGTATCATAGTTGTGGATGGGCTGTTCAAGTTATCTGGTTTGGCTGGGTCATAGTAAGGAGTGATTTCGAGGATGAAATCTAAATTTAGTGGGGGGGGAGAGTTGTAACACCCAGTATCAAATCATTTCATAATTCAGGGACATGACCCAAAGATCAGTTATCATAAGGCTTCGATCCTTGGGGGAAGGAAGGATTTAGGCCCTTTAGGTGTGGATAATGTAGGTTAGATGATCTGGGAGTTCGATTTGTGATTGGAGCCCAAGGGTATAACCGTAAAGTGGTAGTTCGGGCCTTTTATGAATTTTAGGTTTAGGTTTGGAAAGTTTTAAGACAAAGGAGAGTTGATAGAATTATAGATATTTTCATTACCTTTTCGTGGATATAAAGAACTTCGAAATTGGACTTAGAACAAAGGATTTATGGCCGATTGAAGTTAGGAGTGTTTGGGACATAGGCTAGTACGCGGGGCGTACTCTTTGAGTATGCAGCGCACAGTGACAGTATTGATTGCGGGTCATCTTTGAGTATGTCCGGCATACTTAGGAGTACGTGGGGCATACTCCATACAGGTAGAAACGCTAATCTTTAGCATCTTACCCCTATTTAAGTTCATTATGTTCCTTGAGCGTTGCCTCTTATCAGCCTCCATACCTCCTAAACCCTAATCTCGACCCTTTAGCGACCTTCTTAGTGTTCTTGCGCTCATGTGAAGAATCTTAATGTTGTCTTGTGCATTTTGAAGAGATAGAAGGTTATTGAAGATTCATCTATTGGTGTGAAGCTTATAGATCCAGAGTTGCCACCTATTTTGCAATCCATTAAAGGTAAAAAGCTCTTGTATTGACATCTCTTTTTTATAGATCTAGTTTGGGGTGATTTATGGAATATTTTGGGTCTTTTTAGTTGTCCTTATGAGAAAGAGTTACTCCAAGAACTTGGTCACTAGATCTGGACGTTTTAGAGGTCCTAAATGCATAAAAATGTCATCTGGATGGTTGTTATCCACCCATGCATGTGAAGCTAGGTCTTCGATTTGGGACCCATTGAGCCATGTAAAAGCTCAAAGTGAATGACTTTATGGATTAGGGCATGTTTGGAACTAGTTCTGAGCATTCACTGGTACAAAAATGACCTATAGACACACCAAAAATATGTGACCATATGCGTATAGTGACATTTTTTATTACTGAAAGTGTGACGGAAGGTGACGTCATCGTATGGGTCTTATGGTTACTTTAAAATGTAGTGTCCATATGATATGAAAACATGTGGCCGTATTATAAAAGTGTGGCAATTGGTTAGGAAATTTGTTCGTAAAATCAATCATTTTATCTAATCTTGTGGCGTTATTAGTAACTGCAGTGACTGTATATCACCAACTTGCAACATGCATGTTGTTTTAGTGTGGTTTTTCTCTAATATATTGTCACACAATTCAAAGTCTATTAAAACTATAGGGTGTCTTTTGCAGACATGCAATTACGATAAAATATGACCATGTTCACTAAATGGCCACATGTAATTACTTTTATAAGTGACAATTTACTAATAATTAGTAACACAAACAATATTTTATAGTGACTATTGTCTATCATATAATATACAATTAAATGAAACATGACCATAATTGTTATAAAGACACATTTTATTAAAATTATGGATTTATTGTTAACTTACGGTCATATTTGTAATACTTATCATGACCGCTTCTTTTATTCAGAAATATAAAAAGTCGTAAGTATGACTATTTTATATAATTTCGACAAAAAAAACAATTAAAAATAACCATAATTGATTTATAGACAAAATGGTGTGACTAATATTTATATAAAGTCACATAAAATATTATAATTTTGGTGTAACTAATATTTATATAAAGCCACATAAATTTTGTTTAATATGATGTAACTAATATTTATGTAAAGCGACAGTTATCAATGGACATATTATCCATTTTATTTCCAAATTTTTGTAAAATAAAAACAACAGTAAACATGATAAAACTTAAAAGAAAATGGTATTAACATTAATAAAAAAATCAATACATAAGTTTTCAATTCAAATACTAAACACATTAGCTTGTAATCAAAAGATATATATATATATATATATATATATATATATATATATATATATATATATATACACACACACACAAGACTTTACACATAAACTAAGAACTATATATCTCCAACATTTTTGTCATGCCCTCTAACGTTGTATAAGTTTTCATTTTCTTATTAGAATCATGGAGTTCTGTGTTTTAATTTTGATTGGATGGTGGATTGGTACCTGAAGCAATAAAAAGTTGTAGGTGTCAAACATTAAGACAAATATGAATAATTAACTAGTGTGAATGTGTTATACTTGTGCATTAGTCGAGTTAACCAATGTAATCTTTAATTTCTTTTATTTGATCTTACTTTCATTTTTTCCTATTATAGTATTGTCCTTATAAGAAAACATATCAAAGTATAATGCTATAATTGGATAGAATTTTCAAAGTATAATGTCCTTATAAGAAAAAGTTAGAAGTATAATGTTGTAAAAGATTAAGAAATAGAAGTAAGAATTTAAGTGACTACTTACATCTTTTGTAATAAATCCATCAAAAAGGTTGGTGGTTTTCCAACTACATTTAACTCTTTCTCTGTTCCCCCACAAACAACAACAACCACGCACCCAACACCTAACAATGCAACACATTACACTTAATTACCATATGACCCTTAAATCAACAAAGTCAAACCTTGAGACCCAATTTGTGAAAAATCAAACTAGGACTAAAGATGCTGTACTTCATTACATTGAAACCAGACCCGAAAAGTAGAGGTAGGATAGAGACTCATGCTTGATATTTAAGTGCAAAAGATGTAAATGCCTTTGATTCATACCAGACAATTCTTGTAAATCAGTCATATTAATAGTGACAACGATGTGAGTAGCAATAAAAACGCATCTTGGATTCTCACAAATGCAAAGAATTGCGTACCTACAAATTACTCACCACTTACAGCTTTTTATAAATTTAACTTCAACAAATATATATAATTCAAGAACACTAGGTATATAAGATGTTGATAAAATGAGTAAATAGGGTATCTTACTGTATTTTGTAACAGTTTACATTTGTTTCATGTTCAACCACAACTGCTCCAATCTGGATCATAACTTAAAAAAACTATTATATTTGATGACGTACTATTAAGCATTAAAAAATATTTAAAATATGAAAACAAGTTATGTAAACGTTACATTTTTATCTTGCTCAAAGGAAGTAATTACTTTAAGTTTCATAGTTTTTGTCCCTTCTTCCTGAAGATGCATCTATTAATGTCCAACCAAACCATTTATCATGTATATTTTTGTCAATTTTTAATTAAAGAAGAAGAAGAAATGGAGGGAATAAAGGTAAAAACCCTAAATTTTGAATCTTTTTCACCATATAGCCTATCAATAAGATAGATAAGTAAATCAGTTAGAGGCCTCAATACAGGCCCTAATTATGCTCAAGGATGTGTCTAGTGGTGAGCAATGACTGAAATTATGATTCATCATTGATCTACTTAGCTCATCAGTATACTTGTATTTGTGTATTGAAGAAACCCTAACTTTATGGAAATCATAATAACGATTATAGAATGCACGAAGACATGGTAACTTGCAGTAACTCAACTATATATCACTTTTCATTTCATCATTAAGCTAATTAAGCAAGCAATGTTAAGGGCAAATCAAAACCCCAAATGAAAAACAAAACCTCAAGTATATTTCAATAATCTCCACCACAGGCATTGTAGTCTTCTTCAACTGTAATTGTCAAATAAACCATAGTGAAATCAGCGACATCAAACAACTTCTCCTTCATCGCTTTAAATATGTCGTCTTTCTTCAGCACGGTGCGGCGGATGGGCGGGCAGTTACGATACTGATCGCGAGAGAAGTGTTAGATGTCGAACACAGTTTTTGGATCAGAGGTCTGGATGATGGCCTTAGCCGGTTCAGTGGCCGGAAAAAACCTTCACATGTTAAAATTCTTTAAAATCAATTTATCCAATGCTTTTAGAATGGAAGAAGAACCAACCTTCACAGATGACAAAGATATATGTGTGAGGGATTCTGGAGGAGCAGATGATGTCGGAGGATATCCGGAGGAGCAGAATGCATAGCATCGACTGGAAGGCGAAGAAGAAGAGGCAGAGAAGGTTGGTAACGATGGCTACTGTTCACCGAAGGAGGCAGAACAACAAATCGATGGACCCACCTCCCATCGATCGGACAAGAACTCACCGATAAAGAAAGTCGCTCTCAAAGTTCTGGTGACAGACGACCTAATTTTACCTGTGGTTCCTTGAAAGTCACCTCCATGTGCGCCGATCAAGCAAGAAATTAAGAAGGAAAAACTACAAAATCTTGTTCAGCGGCCGAAATCGACTTATTCGAAGACCAATCCACTAGTCGGCAGCGTAGATTGTAGATCAAAAGCAGTGTTTGAGCGATTCTTGAGCGTATAAACATATATGAGAGAACGGAGCCTTGGCCTATATATTTGGGAAGAGTTCGAATAAAAATGAAATTAATAGAAAATAAAGATAAAATGAATTAATATTTAGGAGGGAATTTAAATTTAAGGTGTGTGAAAGTGAAATTCAAATAAAATCTCGAGTGGGAAGTTTAAATTTTCATTTGAAATTTTGAATGATGGTTTTTAATATATATATATATATATATATATATATATATATATAAGAATTAATAATTCATACAAAAGGATGTGTTTTGTGACTATTCATTTTGGATGCAAAAAAAATTGAAATATGAAATAATTTAAAGCGAGGCCCTAAGTCATAAACCTTAATACATATATAACTCTAAAGCCCCACGTCATACATGACAAGTTATGAGCTTGTGGGAATAAGTGTACAATTATTTGTGTGTAGGGGTATGGGTATAGGTATAGAGGTAATGGTATGTGTGTAGTCAAGAGACAAAAGTCTTAAGCCCTTAGTCCTATACATCAAGTCCTAAGTCATAAGAAATAATTCATACACCAAAAGTCATATGCTTTAAACCCTAAGCCTTGGTTCATATGTCATAAGCCATGACATATAAACCATAAGCCATAAACCATAAACCATAAGCAATATGCCCTAAACCCTAACTTATAAGCACTACTCCTGAAGCCATAAACCATATGCTTTGATCCCAAAGACATACACCATAAGCCATGAGCCTCTAGACATAGACCCTAAGCCATAAGTCATAATACATTATCAATAATTCATACACCACACATCATAAGCCCTAAGCATAATCCCTAAGACATAAGACTTAAGACATTAGAATTAATTCATAAAACTTAAGCCATAAGTTATAAAATATCAGCCTTAATCACCTAATCCCTAAGCCTTAAAACCTAAGTCATAAGCCATAAGCATTAATTCATAAGCCATAAAACATAAGCCTTAAGCATTAAACCATGAGCTATAAGCCATAAGTCTTTAAACAATATAAGCATAACATTTAACATTAAGCCCTAAGCCCTAAGCCCTAAGTTATAAGTTATAAGCCATAATCCATAAGTAAAATAATCCCTAAACCTTATCTCCTAAGCCATAAGCATTATGCCCTAAGCCATACATCAGAAGCCATAAACCATAAGTTATAACCAGTAAGACTTAAGCTACATGCCTTAAGATAGAGACCATAAGTCATAAGTAATAAGCCATAGGCCCTATCCCACAGTTCATAATTAGTAACCCTTAAGCCAAAGCCTTAAGCTATAAGCCATAAGTCATAAGCAATAAGCCTGAAGTCCCAAGTCATAAGTACTAAGCCTGAAGTCTTGCCTACATCTATACCCAACACCACCCCTAAATGCTAAGTGTCACCACAAGCAGACACCCCGACGTACAAACCTACACCAACACCTGCCCCACCCTACCCTATCCCAAATCCCCATATATATATATATATATATATATATATATATACACACACACAAACACACACCCACTTCACCACACTCACACATATAATCATATCCCTACCAACACTCCTTATATCCATTCCAACCCACCCATACATATACCTACCTCACCATACTCCCACCTATACCCCTATACGTATCCATACCTAGACTCACACCTTTCATTAATGTTTTTTATTTATTAGTTGCAAATTATTAGAAATATAGTTTTAAATTTATACATTATATGCCAAAAATAATATACTTTTTGTTAATTGTTTTATAATAGCATATTTATATCACAATAGCTTGAGTCTTCCCTCCACTGTGTTATTTTTGTTTAAAATCACAAAACATCTCCAACTGTCAAAAGTTCTTGCTAATAGGATTTTTTCTTATTTTCGTTTTCTAGAGCACGAACGTCATTTTTTCCACTTTGTTTTTTTTTTTTCACTTACACATACACTCACAAATTCACATACACATATAATACAAACACATACATAGTTACATACATATACAAAAAATAATAAAATACAATAATAATAATAATAATAATAATAATAATAATAATAATAATAATAATAATAATAATAACTAGAATTTAAAAAATTAAAATTTTGACATTTATTTTTAATTCAGTTGGATATTTCCAACATACTCCGCTCCCCCAAACTTTGGCTATGGTTTAGATTTCAAAGTTCTCCCAAAAATTTGACCAATCTCTCACCACCCGCCAATCGATTTCAGTTCTCGCTCACACCGAACTTCAATGGATGATTCACATATTCTATGTTGCATTTCATATTCATCTAGAACCTGGTCCTTCATTCTATGCACCACCACCGGTCTAATGCCTCACCACCGCTCAACCAAAGCTTTGCCTTGCTGGAAACCTTCACCGATCCGCCTCGCCTTTATCGTCATCGATTGAGGAAGGTATCAGCGCCACATTCAATCCGAAAAAAAGGATAAAAAAATCGGATTTGAATACCTAAAATCAAAATCAGTTAGACCTAAATCCACTTTTTTAGTGTTTTTGTGGTTATAGTTGAATCTTTATAAGCTTTATTGGGGTCTGTTTCTGGATTTGCAAATTGGAATCCATTGATCCCAAAAAGTTAATTACATCTGGTGGTCAATTAGATTCGGGAGAATATGAAATTTTGTTGTTTCTTTCAAAACCTTAAATGTTTATTTTTATCTTTAATGTAATCAGATCCATGTTATTCAACATGTTTTCTATAAAAATCTATTTTTTTTTTCATATTTCGGCTTCTAAATAGCTTATTACCTTCTTATACAGTATACATTGTGCTATGGTTAAAGAGGAGAAGTTGGTAATTGAGAATGCCTAAAATACAACAGTGAGGGACGTTGTGTTATCTCTCTGGTGGTCTCTTTAATTCCATTGAAGAACTTCCCTAATAAGGTACGAGCATCTATTTTCATTTGTAAATTATAGTTATTTCAATATCGCATATCAACTGTTTGATGATTTTCCCAAATGAAAACTTAGATCACTAAAAATGAGGTGTTGGTCAAACTTAGTACTATGTTCTACATATTTAACCAATTATAAAATTGATCTATGATTTGTTTTTTGGAGAACTAATCATTTATGACATATCACTCATCTCTTACCACCACCACCACCACCATCACCACGAGAAGATCTAAACTCTTCAATAAGTTTGATGACCAACAACATTGATAGCAATGAGAATTCTTTTTATTTAGGTTATCAGGAGAATCATCAGAGCATGTAATGTTTGGAATGCCACTACCCTACAACATTTGTGAAAGTACCAATGCTAATGTTTGGAAGTGGTGGTGAGGGTCATGATGTGTGCACAACTGGTTCTTCCTCTGAAGCATGGAGTTCTTTGAGTCAAACTAGCTATGCAAATTGCACAACAACAACATCAGATCAAACAAAAATAATTTACTCTTCAGGTTTTTAAAGATCACAACCAGAGTTTCATCATTAACCATGATTACACTGATCATAAAAAAGGTGTATAGTTTAAATAACTTTGAAAGTGGTCTTGAGGAAGTGAAGTAACTCATTGGTGACGCAAACAGCAGTAACAACATCAGTTACCTGTTCCATGATGATGATGAATACAAGACAACTGATGGTCGTAGGGAGATATGCTATCATTACTAATGGGTACATTTGTAATTAAGGGAAAAGAAACAGAAGAGAGAGTTTAAGATAGTTTTTGGGGTTTGTGCTGATTGTAGTGGAAATCAATGTAAAAAGTCACAAAAAGAAAGAAAGTTTTTTCTTTGTTTTCAATATCTTTATGTGATAGTACATGTACTAGCTTTTCTTTTTGTTTAATAAAGGCCTTACATTTATAATATTTTTGTAATTACATTTATTTTTTATTTTGAATATTTAATGAAATAGGCTAACTAATAAAAATACTAAATATTTAATATATAAATAATACACTTACAGTGAACTGTTGAAGAGTTTATCTAATATTCGTATCAATATTATGCATATAGTATTCTTCAACTAAATCGCTTTGGCTTGGAGAGACAGATTTCAATTGGTTATATTTGTGAAAGAAAAAAAACACAAGGTATTGAAGATTTGTGGCCCATATTGTATAAAAATAATTGTTTGTAAATTTATGATGTATCATACTATAATTATATTGATCACAAATTATTTTTCTTCTATAACTAGATTTACCTATAGACACACATAATAATTTTAACTATAACCAAATGCCACTTACACTCACAATTTTTTTTCAAGACAATTCATCATATTTTGACACACATAAGAAAAGGCACATAGCCATAAACCACTAAAAGTAACTTGTTTTCTTGCTTTTACTAATTAATTAGTAAACACCATCCTATAGACACACAAATATTTAATATGGTTATATGTATCACCTGTTAGCTATATTGGATTTTATGTGTCTAAAATCGTACCACGATACAGAAACATATACAATTGCATCATGTGACCATATATTTATCTATTGTCTCTTATAAAAAAATATCACAACATTAATCGGTACACATGTGGGTGATGGTGACATATGGCCACATTGTTCGAGTGTGGCTAATAATTTTCACATTTGTTATAATTAAATGTGATTAAAGTTTTGATTATCAGTACAATGGCCACACAAACTAATTTAAATGTATCCAGAAACAGTCTCTAAACTTTTTTAGTGACATTCGACCACAATTTTAATAAAAAGTGTGACAGACTGTTTCTCTAAAAGTGTGACCGTAGGTCATTTTTGTACTAGTGATTGGATGTTTTGGCATAAAGGTTTAAGACCATTTCTAGATGGATTATGAGCAAGGAGTGTACGCGGGGCGTACCTCTTGGTACGCAGTGCGTATTGGGTCAATATCTCGTGGGTTAGTCAAGATGCGGAGTATGTTGGGCGTACTGACTAAGTACGCAGGGCGTACTCATTCAATATTGAATTCTTTGACCTGTTTACTTTTTGACTTTGATCTTTGACCAGAGGTTTGACTAGAGTTGACCTTAGGTTATTT